GAATATGTATAAATTTATGATTTTAACAAATTAAATTGTATAAACAGATGGAAAATTACTCACTCATTTGTGCTGATATTGAATAAAGTGTTGAGCCATGGTGCTTTTAGGAAAGGCGTGGTGAAGTTCAATTTACCATTTAAGTTTTCAATCGACTTGATGGTTATATCCATATCGCCGACCGTTCTGGTATCTGGATAGTTAACAGATAAACTGTTTGTAAATAGTAAACTGGTTATAATATTAAAATAAGAAATGTTTTAAATGCCTTACTTAAAATAGTGATAGCTGTCTTTAATACGATTATACGAGCCCATTAAATATACTGTAGCTTCATTTTCAAATTTTGGRGTGATTAATGTAGCTAAAAATTCAMGAAGAGTTTTCTCTTTTCTTAGYATTTGGAAATCTGYTCGGACWACGTTGGTATTACCAWCAATTTTGCACTCAACACTTACTAAGCTATGTAGATCGGTTAGATATCTATACGATAAACGGGTTACACAGCTCCTGTCGGTGTGTTTAGCAAAATATTTTCCTTCAATGGATACTTCTAATGCTTTCCCATCTTGGTTAAATATATTTCCTTCGTATTGGCCACTAAAATCGTGCATATCTTCGTATGCCGAAGGCCAATGTGTTAATAATCCAAATCCAATATTATTAATGGATTCATAATTTAGATTTCCACTTATTTCGAAATACCATATAGCATTAAAATTTATTTTTGCACAAACCCTTAAATCATTGAATGTTTTATTAGGGTTTATGTATTTTATTTCCGAATGTAAATTACTTGTATTAGAACTTGGTTGTTCAATACTGCTTTGTATTAAGAGACGCATGTCCTCCATAGGTTTCCAAGTCCACTCATAGTTTCCAAAGCCACTATGAGAATCGAATTGATAACCTCCATTTAATTTCCCGTAATCTAATCGCGTTTTTATATCAGCCCAAAGATTCACTTTACCAAGACCCATATCATGCCACGGCGTTTCTACAAAAAGCTTGGCTGTGACACAATCGTTTTCTGGATATTGGAAGTTAGTCTTAACGTAAATTCGTTCAATTGAAGTTTCCGTTGATTCAATATATACAGACAAGTGAAGACCAGTTTCATTATGGTATGAATAATTGCCTGATATTTTACATATTTTCCCATTTTCAATAGCATTGAACTGAAAACGTAGTTCGTTTGTTTTTTCTTCTTCGTTTAATATATTTATTTCAATGAGTCCTTCTTGATTGTTATGCAGTGAAAGTGTTTGCAACCGTGTTTTTACTGGCAATCGTCCATTCATATGAACCAAACCATTTATATCATAAGTTACCATATCACGATAAAACACTCCTTCAATATGGTATAGGTTGGGAGAACTAGGGGTCACAGTACCATGGAGAGATATATTTTTGAAATTTTGCATTGGTGTCCATAGCTCCGCATTGATAATTTCTTTTTTTTTAATTGCTCGCATGCCAAAAGTAAAATTATTTCGATTTTTATTTGAAAATACTATATCAAAATTAATTTCCTGGTTTTCTTCATTACTTAGTAGAAACGTGTACTCAAATAATTTTAAAGGTAGTAACGTAGCTATAAATTTTCCATTAGAAGTTATTTTCTCATTGTCATTTTCACATTGCCACATAGACTCGATATGAAACTAAGATATCATAATCCTGTATTACTATACAAAATTCGAATTTATACAACTCACCTTGATCATATCGGTTTGGTTAATTATTTCTATTTTTATATCAAAAGTTTTGTCTTCTTTAGAAAGATCCTGTTTAAAGTACGTAGTTCCTTTGTACTGTAGATCCAAGCTTTCCTCTAATGAGTAATCAAAGGAAGCTTCCAAAAAATTTTGATCAGACTGAAAATTGGAAAAATATATATGTATAGTTATGAAATATAAATATATATAAACATAAAAAAAAAAAATAACTATATTTTCAAATATCAAACTCTTATCAGTTTCTGAAAGTATTAGCGTAACACATTTATTGAGCCTTTCATGTGAAAATATCGTATCCTAGATAAGCATGAGTAACATGGCTTTATTATGTTGCATACACTGTGACTTATAAACCTATCAGTTGGCGACATTTATTTGTGAATTACAATTAATAAGAAAATATCCCCAAGGTAAACCAATAATATACAATATTCGATAACTACAACTTTTAAAAAGAGAATATCAAGGATTTATATGAAGCCAATGGAATACGAAATATTTTCGATGTTTTTAAACTTTGAGAATTGATCTTTTAAAATCTTTTAGCCTTTTTAAAAAATATAGTAATAAGCTATGTTCCCAAGGCAAAACAAACAGAGAATATCCGAGATTTATAAGAGAATAAGCCAATACGTACTCCTGCCGATATTTTTAAACATTCAAGACTTTTAAAATATTTGAAGCGTTTTAAAAAGTTTTTAGAGGACTCCACTTTTTGTTAAATTTGCTGTTCTGAATGCTTATACAAGCAAGACTCTTTCGACGCTCTTGTCCCACTAGTAAAATCGTATTTACATTTTTAAATGATTCCCTATTAATTATATCAACTGATATTTATACTCATAACTTGAAGTTGTTGGTAAAAACTTCTTAGCATGTAAAAATTCGGGAAATTCCTACAATTTTATTTAAAAAAATTTTGTAAAAGAATTCAGCTTTCATTGCTTAGCAAAACTGATTAATTTTCAATGAAGTTCGTATCGCATTAACTCATAGTAATTTTTGGCCATTGGTTCTATAACTATTGGGATACTCACAGCGTGCCATAAATCATCGTAAAACAATAAATGTTTATGCTAGTGTAAAAATTTGTTGTTTGATTGCATTCTAAAATAACTTTACGCAAATACAACTCTGAACGAYATGTTTTCGAATCGTTATAATTTATAACCTTATGAGACTATGTGAATTCCCTATATATTTAATTCCCGTCAGCGAAAGTTTTACAGAAATCGTCTTCAAATAAGATTTTTACATTTAGGACCCCAACTATATCTGA